CGCAACGTACACGCATTCGCAAATCAGCCATACGCGACTATAGTTGAACCAAAAGATAAAGTTGGTTCAACTATATCGCGTATAGCTGATTTGCGAATGCGTGTACGTTGCGTGTAGTGAAACGTCATCCTGCGTGCGCGTCTGCGTCCTGCGTTTTGCGTCCTATGTAGACGGGCCTTTAGACCGCTAATTTCCGCATGCGAGATGAACCCCTAGACGACTGTAAGCGCGTAATCCCCGGGGCGAACTGGGCCCCGTTCGCGATCGTGAGGTGTCCGTTATAGTTATCACCGCAGAGAGACTGATCATTAATTTGCTCCTATATTATTAATATAGCTACTAATACGGCTCCGAGGTAACAGTTATAAAATTAATATTTTGAGAAATAAATCACATGGGAATATCGCCGTGAAACGTTTCACGCTAATATTATCTCGCATACACTATCGGGAAAATTACAGTTAGTACGTGAAAAGAAATAAAGGACATTGACATTAATCGTGACGAACGCAACAATCGAAGAAATTGTACATGTTTAAATTATGTGACCCTGTGGGCATGAAATTAATTTCTCAAAGAAAATTTGAAGAACTGGATGATATAAATAAATAATTTATAACGTACGCTCCCTCACGTGTCAAGTAATAAGGCATGAAAGAAATTTCTTAGTACGCCACGAGATAAAAGAGAAAAAGTCAAGTTAAGTTCCTCCTTCTCACAGTGTCGTAAAATCAATATATAAAATTATTTCTATCAAGTACTTGTTATAAGAACATTATGAGTTCTATCTATGATTTCATAATAAAATCTGTTAACGATCGAACGAAATTTCATTTCTAGAATGGAAACACGTTTCTCTGGTCTCCTTAAATTCAACGCAGTAGAAAGTACACAATCCATAGATAAAATGCTAATGAAAATTTGTTAGCCCGAACTTGATTAAATTATAACGAATAAGTTGATTATGCATGCGATTGATTTGGAGATTTCATAATAAATCAGGACTTTACCTTCGGACTTCAAGATCAGATCCTTCTCGTCCACGGCGATGCCCGGCAGACGGTCCTTCAGCTCCTCGATCTCAATCTCCAGCTCGGTCTCGTCCTCGAGCCTGACGGTTCTCTCGTCCGACAAATTCTCTCTCCTCTTCTCCGGTGATATCCTCTCCCGCTCTCTGGGAACGTCGGTCTTCGAGGAGGATAGCGAGTTGTTGAGTGAGACTCGCGGCTCGTTACCGATCTTGTCTTGAACTTGCTTCTTGAACTCGGCGGAACGATCGAACTTCCTGGACGGTACGAACTTGTCTATCTTGATCCTGTCAGGACCGGGCGGCGCGGTTTTCTTCACTTCCGGCACGATCCTCGGCTCCTTGTACCTGACTTTGTCCACCTTCGGTGGATCCCTGATGTTTGGGATCGTGATGAAGTTGTGTTTCTCCTGCTGCTCCTGCGGCACAATCGGCGCCTCCTCGCGTTCCTCTTTGGGCTCGGGGCTGTTGTCCCGCTGCTCCTTGCCGCAATTGGCGATTCTGCCGATCCTGCTCCACGAGAGTCGCGTCGCCTCGGACGGCTTCTCGGGCGCGAATATCACGTTGTCGACGTTGAAGAGCACGTTCTTCCTCTTGCTCTCAATCACCCGGCCGCGCTTCAGGATGCTCTTCAGCGTCTGCCGGGCCTCTTTCAATCGCCTCGGCGGTCTCTTTGGCGACACCTTCGGTATCGGGATCCTGGTGATCGGCGCCGGCACGTCGTCGTCGTCGTCGTCCGATATCTCTCTGCGCCTCTCGTTGAACACCCTGATCCGTTGACCACCGATCGCCGCTACGGCACTCCTATTCGGTATCCTCTCGATCGACTTCACTTTCGACGGGTCGAACAGACTGGACGACTGCGTTCTGAGGTCGTCCTGCTCCAGCGCGTTGTCCGACAGATCGTCGCTCAGATCGTCCTCGTCCTTCTGCTTCTTTAGTAACAAATACGGATTCACGTCGCACTCGAGGATGCTCTTCCGCGAGTCCGCGGTAACTGACGTTGTTGTTCCGTTCTTCCACTCGTCCTGGCTGATCTTCTTCTGATTCGCCTCCCTCGTTGGCTTCTGTGGGACGCGAGTCAGCTTGGCGGACGTCGTCGCGACGGAATGAGTTCGCGAGTGACTCTCCGGAGTCTCGTCCAGCATCCAATCGTCCGAGGACGCGCCGCCGCCGTTGATGAAACCGGGTCGCGATTTACGATCGTCATAGCTCACTATCGCGCTCGGCTCCTTGTCGAACCACTCGGATCTGGACGACGACAGCGACGCACCCTCGTTCGTGCCCTTTCGCTCCTTCGCGGCGGCCCGCGAGACCATACTCTGGCTCCTGGAATCTCGCTGCGAAGATGGTCGATGCGGCGAGATGCTGCGCGCCCGCGATCTCGGCTCCACCAGCCGGTTCCGTCGCATCTGGTCGTACGGATCGTCGATAGCGGTCCTCAGCACGCCTAACAAATAGGTTTAACCGTTGTATTCGCGAGAGGAAATCGTCCCACAGCCGTTTCGACTCGACTTGCTACGCCGACCTAGATCTCCAGATCGAACGCGAATAATGAAATTTCTGACGACGCTCATTTCGGTTTCTAATATGGATATCAGAGAAATTATACTCTCAAGAGGCGCGTCTCTTCTGGAATTTAAACTAGTCCTTAATCCTTTAAGATTTACAATTTAGCACGCTACGTATTAGCTTGCTAATAGTCTGAATATTTTCATACTTTTCATTACCAACAACAGTTATAACGTCAATTTTGTTTGTCATAATACATTTCCGAAAGAAATTTGTGTCGCGTGTAGAAACGAAAAATACAACGTAACACACTAAACATTAGTTTCGTCAGATTGCCCGTATAATAATAAAATTCCAACTTTCATTCGACGACACAGCTGGCCACATTTGTTAATTAACCGGTCAATGCGGAAAATTTATTGCGAAAACTATTACCTCAGCCAGGGTTTGAACCTGGACCTCCCTACACTTTAGGCGGGCGTCTACCACCAATTCGACCACCGAGGCACTAAATTGTAATACACCGAATTTCTTTCGTTCGTTATCGTTATCTGTATTTACTATCGAGTGGTTAAAAGAGTGTAATCGGATGACCAATTCACAAAACAGTAGAGATAATTATCGCGAGAACCATTCGAGTGTGAAGTACCAATTGCCTGAATCGAAAGGTCACTGCTCTACATTTCCAACGATTCGCCAGGTATCGTTTGTGGCGCACGTCTCAAAGCGTCTCTCTTCCCTCGGCGAGCAGAGAGATGTAATCTAGTCTAAAGCGATTTAAATGCAAACCAAAGTAGGTGTACGAGAGCATCGGTCGCTGAATAAAATTCAGTTATCTCGCCCGCGGCCGAGAACTTTCTGCGCTTCGCCGCATGCACGCTATCTCGAACGCGAGCAAGGAGAAAATCTCTAATACGAAGAACGCGTACAATTAGAGCATGAACATCATCGGCGGCACGACAGGCGGGAGCTCTCGCGGCCCGCCCTCGCTTATCTCTCGCGCTCGGAACAAACACCCTCCGTACCTCACGACACGCACGCGGCGGGAGGTTCCACTTGGTAGATACCTCTTTCTCTAACGCGTCCCGGCATCATACGACACGAGAAAGCCATCCCACGTATCATCACAGAACGCCGATGCTATCGCTCGCGAGTGTCTCGAAGGTAAAAAGATAAATAAACAAAAATAATCTCCGTGAAATAACCGAGGATGTAGATTGATCGGGCAAGAGAGCGGAGGTTTGTGCGAACAATCGTGTCCGCTGGTAGCCGAGGACGCGGAATAATCGCGGTGTACAATGGAATAAGCGAAGATGTGCAATTTACTTACCGGCGAGGCTCGGCCGGGACCTCGAGGACGACGGTAGCCGGCAGGTTCCTCCGAGGGGCAGACCGGCCACCCGGTGGCCGCCGCACTTGCGGCAGCTGCCGAGCTTCCTTACGGTGCCGGCGAGGAACTCCGGGCAGGAACATACCACGAGCAACGGCGCCGCGCCCGGTGGCGGCGGGGGTGTCAGGAAAGGTCGCGGCGGGTCATGCCCGACGAGCCGTGACGATCTGACCGTGCCGTACAGCCACGGATCGCCGCTGTAGATCATCTGACGGGAGAGCACGCTGCCGCCGCTTATGGTGCCCCAGCCACCCTTGCCGGGGTCATCCCCGGGGTGCTGATGCTGCCGCGACAGGCCCAGCCGCACGCTCCACGACTTCTTGCCCTTGCTCAGGGTATCGTAGCTCTGCGGTCAGTCAAGGGGGAAAGGCAATTGAGCGGGGGTTGATAAATGAAGGGTCAGGTCGATGAAGCAACATCGATCATATTTACATTATTTATCGTATTGTAACATCTGAGGTGCATCGATCTTGAACATAATTGCAATACACACTGATGGAAAAGTATGTAGCATTTATGAATATTGCATTTGCATATGACGACAGTTTCGCCGCAACGTGAGAACTTCCACGCCACGTCGGGACGGCGACAGCATAATTTTCCGGCCTGATAGACACGCGCATTTTTGATAATTGCCAATCTCCCGTCACTTTTTATATATAAACGGAAGCATCATCTCCACTCATCTCTGATAACGTAATACTATATCGCTCGGGGTGTATAAATTACTTTAACCATACATTCGTTGTCACGAAACATCCAACACGCTTTTTATCGGCGCGATTGGCGCTCGTTTCCGCGGCCGGCGGACGGAATTGGAAGTCCAGCGACAAGTCCTGCCAGTAAGAAAACGTCCGAATGTACTTGCTCCTTGTGCGTCGTGTAATTTGCGACAGTCCTACAATAAGCGACTATCGGTAATTACGGATGCATCATTCCGCTGGCTCTCTGGTCCGGCCCGTCGATACCGCGCGCCTATAATAACTTCCTGGATACGGAGAACACGCGACATTCTCTCTCCCCTGAATGGCCAGAGTTATATTCATCCGGAACACAAAACAGAGACGGCCATTGTTGCCTCTGTCATTGTCCCGGCCATCATTCTTACCTCCTTCGGGCTGCTCGCCGTGGCCACGGCATGCATACGACATCGGTATTTACGCACGAAGAAACGAAATTCCGATGCATATCGCTGGAAACTTGACAACGCGTGGCGCGTCCAGTTCCAGAAATATATATCTCTACGTCAAAATATTTTATCTCCTGTAAAGGAGAGGAGAGAATCCGTGGTATAAATTTGTGGCGACGTTGAAACATATTTTCAGATTAAACAGTACTCTCTATATTTAGACACGTGGGCGGCATTACGTATTTCCAATCGGGAAGAAAGTATCTTTAATATTTAGAATAATAATTGTATTTACATTATTTATGGCAGTAAAAAAAATATTTCTATATTGTAAAAAATGCCAGGTATGGTCCAGAAAACACTGACGTTGTTTATTAATACAATTGTTATCCTAAATATTAAAGATATTTTCTTCCCGATTGGAAACTACAATACAGAAAGATTTTCTGTATTGTTAAAAATGCCAGGTATGGTCAAGAAAACACTGACCTTGTTAATTCGCTGGCGACATTGAAGAATTCTTATTAGTTGTGTGTTAATAAAGTTTTATCATAAATTTATTATAATAATATTTAGAAGCACTGCACTTCTAAGCTTGCGAGACACGCCTCTGACGCATCGAAAGCATTCCAGAATCAGCAGAAACGAACTGGTCGATTTTTCATAGTTAAATAAATTTCGCTTCCCACGTGCCTTATCGCGGCGCGCCTTATCGCGGCTTATCACAGCAGCGAAAGCGAATTCTCGTATTGTGCATTAATCTCGTTCCCGCGGCGCGGAGACGTAGGAAAAACGCAAAAGCGAAGTGCAGTTCGCGCTGCCTTCCGACCCGACGTGCCACTCTCGTCCGCATGATTTTACCCGCAACGGGAATTGCCACGATGAGGATCGATCGACGGACCTGTCGTTTCGATTTCCCTTTAACGGCACGCACAGCCAAGAAATACGCTCGATCTCCGCTCCCCGTCAGCCTCTTCACATCCAGAAGCCTCGCGGATCGCGAGTCCCTTCCGCAAATCGCTGCTCGTCAGCCGCATTGCGTTCTCCGAAGAAGGAAGAACGGAGAGGACGTTCGCGAGGAGCCTCGATGGGTAAGCACAAAGAACCACGACGTGGAAGAAGCCACGGCTGGAGAAAAAACTGGAGGGAAGCGATAGGAAGAGAGGCAGAAGGCAAGCGCGTTTCAGGGAAAGTGAACGACGGTAGGAATCGCTTGCGATCGGTAATTTAAATTCGTTTCCCCCTTAGAGAAATCGGAGAGATAACGTCGCGCATACGTCTAGCGCTTACGATGTTGAGTCTCGCGAGAGGGAAAGAGAGAGAGAGAGAGAGAGAATCAAAGCGCGCGCGAGGAAAGAGGCTATATTTGTACGAGTATATGTACAGGTTTGTTCGTTTATCGCGAATGAACGGGTGATTTATTAATGTATGCTACCAGGGAAATGGAGAATTCGCGATATGAGTTTTACTCAGGTGAGGAAAAGGAAAATGCTTGCGGAGGATATGAATTATAATTCATCTACGAATTTATTTACATAATTATACGAATGGCAGTGATTTAATTTCATTTTTCCTGCATGTGAATATTTTTTAATAACAGTTTATTTTAAGTGTTAAAAGGTTCTTTGCGGTATATTTTCATCTGCGATAAAATAAAAATGAAATTTTTCTTTCTATCGAGTCTTTCCGTTCGCAATTTCCTTCGCGAGGCATTACGTTGCGAGAGAGATAAGAAAATCACCGAGGAGAACGACGATGAAGGCAAAACTAGAAATAGCGCAGCCCGAAAAAGTCAACGACCAACTGAAATCGTAGTATGAAGTCACTTCCCTTGGAAATGGATGTTTGGCACGGAGCGAGGCCTGTCCCGTTGCGTCTATCGAAAAACCGCCGCGAGCGAAATATGGAGAGAGACAAAGAAAGAGAGAAACGTCTCGGGAAAGGTGAGGAAATACAAGAAGTCCGGCTCGTGTCTAAGCGCGTCTAAGCGCGGGCGAAAAAGTCCGCGACAGACCGGCTTGGAGAACCGAGGAAGAGGGAGAAGACAAGGCAGGACAAGAGAGGACAAGACAGAGAAACTGGAGAACTGTTCTCGGCGACTTGTCCGGTCGTCGAGGAGAGAACCGCCACACTTCTGCGGAGTCCTTCGAGGAAACCTGCGCGTGAAAAAAAAAATGGCGGTGCACGGGTAGTCGCGATAACGAGTTTCGCGCGAAATTGGCGCCGTCGGCTGGTTGTAAAAATTGCTGGAAAAGAAAGAGAGCTTCCCTCTCCGTGGATTGTGGGATAACACCTCGTGGGATTGCAATCAACCCGCGAAAGGAAAAAGCACGATGCAATTTCGCCGAACGGTACCGTTACGCGTTGTTCGGAATGGGATTCTGCGGGACTCGCGCTCTCCAAAATCGCGCGCGCGCGGTTAACAAAAGAGAAGATCGCTGGCGACGATTAAATCGAGGCAGATTCCCGTGGACGAACGGGACGATCCGTGTTACGTTGGAGGAAATTGTTATCGTTACGAGCCTCGCGAAATTTTCTTAATCTAATCCATTCAATTAATCTATTATCCGTTCAGGCCGCGCTCTATAATTACATTTCCCGCGCACTTATCTCCGATCCGCGCGCGCGTATTTTTCACGGATAAGTTCGCTGGCGCAACGTAGAACGCGAAACGAGAACTGTACATCTCGACCGAGAGAGCGAAACGCGTCGATTTGTTCGCAACACACGTGCTTGGAGGCCAAATCTAATCTGCGATCTGCCGAGAAGGTCCGCGCGATATGCACTCGACCTCTTTTTTTTTTATGCAATTGCGAAAAGCAAGCGGAAAGACGGGCAACTCATCCTGCAATTCCGCTTGCTGACGAGAAATTGTTGCGCATTTTCGAAATATGTCTCACGAAAAAGATGGCATCCTGTGCATACGAGTTTTTTTTTATTATAAAATTCTGAAAATCCACTAAAGCGATCTGAGAAGAAAAATGTTAAACATAATATTTGCTACAAAGAACGTCGCGATATGTTTTCTATCTTACACCTGGGCATAATTTGCATTCGGTACCGCATGGGATCGCACCTGTTGATGTAACGGTTTCCGCGTTCAAGCGTCTTCATCTCATCACGTTTCTTGACAGAATAAACATTAAGTATGCTCGTATTGTTAATAGATTATAACAATTTCATGGCTACAGAGAGAGAGAGAGAGAGTTTCTTACTAATTATTCATTTTTTAAAAGAATAATTAATTATAACAGTGAGAGCACAGCGTTGATCTTAGAATAGTAAAACAGTGACTTTGTTCAAAAGTGATTAGACAAGTGAAGGCAAGAATAGTGAAAGTGTAGAATGTAAATCTGTTCATTAACATATCGGTCACAAAAACTGCAGCTCGAGTTAAGTTACGTGAATAAAAAGCATACCGAAACTGAACACAATTGCAAGTTCAAGAATGCGTAAAATAGTGGCAATTAACAACCGTGACCGAAACCATTAAGTGCAAAACAGCATAGATCTATGTAATCAAATTGTGAAATAAGAAAATTCTTTTCATAATTATGATACTAATGCTACTACTCGTGCAATACTTATTTATGCATAAAATACAATATATATGCAGACAATTATAATTAGGTGCATTAATAAATTTTTATCAAACGTCCTGCAGCAAGTATTTCTCAAACAATTTACTTAACTCGTGCAGTACCAAAAACTTCCCGTTCTATATTTTTCGGCTTCAATTATATTTTTCCCGCCCGTGACAAAATAAGCAACATCCGTGCAACGTATGAAGCGCGTAAGGTCGGAAAATGGGGCAGCCAGCTGCCTGGAGGGCGAACAACGAGGTGCACTTTACTTTCTCGTCCATGCGGGACTTTCGTAAAAATCTTGTCCCACAAGCTCACGTAAGAGCCGGGGCCGTCTGTCGGCCGGCCAGTCGAAAAACAGAAAGTAAGCTAGCGTATAAGCGAGCGGTTCGTATGCAGGCGAGTACACATAGACGCGGGTCATCGTGTCTGCAATGCAACTCGCAGGTGCAAAGCGAAAACGGGCGTGGCTGACGAAATCGACCTTAGATCGAACTGAACGAGAAATTTGTCGTACGACGGTAAGAAACGCGAGCGCATATTATACGTTTTAGTAAGAAATACCAATCGCGAATTATATAATTTAATTATTTGGATATATTTTGTTAGAAAAAAAAACACGTTAATTGCCTC